CTACTTCACAAACTGTCTGCCTGACACATTGCTTCCAGGGCATTCATCTTTAGTCATTATCGGCAGGTCCATCAGATTAACGAGCAACACAGGGGGAAGCAACACAATGGTGTCAAGGATTTTTAATTTTTCAAACCACTTTGGCCTCAACAGGGATAACAGCAAATCTGGACAGAGCAGATGGGTGTCAGGATGGGTTTGGGTATTTATTTATGTATTTATTAAGTGAAAATGTTTGGGTCTGAGCAAAGGCTGCAAACTTCCCTTTGGAAACCTCTGCTGATCTTTTGCCCCAGGGGCTAACGACAGCCTGGAATCTGAGACAGATTTCCACATTCATGCAGGGTGAGATGATCGGGGGTGTGTGGGGGGGGCAGGGAAGAGACTGTGGGGGAGGCTGTTGGAACAGGGGCAGGGACTGAGGGCACTGGATTGAGGGGGGACACTGCAGGGGAGGCTGAGGGGTCAGGGTGGGGGCTGAGGGCAGTGAGTCGGGTGAGATGATCGTGGGGAGGGGAGGGACTGTGGGGGATGCAGAGGGAACAGGGTCAGGGGGACTGAGGGCAGTGGATTGAGGGTGGGAGGCATGGGGAGACTGCAGGGGAGGCTGAGGGAACAGGGTCAGGATGGGGGCTGAGGGCAGTGGGTCTGAGGGGAGTCCCCCCAGAGGGACCTGCCAGGGGGCCAGGTGAGCCCAGCAGTGCTCACCTGGAGCGGCTCCCAGGAAGCATCCAGCAGGCAGGTCCCTCCCAGTCCCTCTGGCCCCTTCCTAGGGTCGGGTCGAGGGAAGGGGGACGTGGGGAGCTCTCTGCCCAGAGACCGCTGCCTGCTGCCGGAGTCTAGAGGCCCCTCCCCGCCGCAGCACACAGCAGAGCGAGACCTCCTCGCTGCCTCTCTGTGTGCCCGGGGCAGGGGCAGGGCTGCGCTCTGCAGGCTCCTGCCGGCCGGGGGGTGGCCCCGTGGGCTGACACCGCCGCGCCGGGAGCTCAGCTGCGCGCTGCCCCAGGGCCCAGGGAGGCAAGGTGAGTGGCGCCAGCGGCGCTGGCTTGCCAAGGTCCCCCTCATATAGGGTGACCAGACGTCCTGACCA